TGCTTGGGAGAACGGTGTTGCCATTAGCACGGTCAGCTGCCTGGAGATGGCGCTTGGTACTTTCGGACAAGGCCTCAGACTAGCCCTTCTCAGACTGCGCTGTGCATCGAAATCGCTTGAGGTCTTGCTCAGGGACAACTTCTGATTCAGGAGCTCAAAGGTGGAACCAGAGGTTCTGAGTTTCGAACAAGCTCCCAGGTGATGCCCACACTGCTGCTGGTCTGCGGATGACACTTTGAGAAGCCAGAGCCTCAGCAAAGGTTCTCCAACTTCAATGTGCATTCGCACCACCTGGGGTGGAATGGGGGCTTGTTAAAATAGATGACTGCCTGCCCCCTCCAACCCCAGTTTCCGATAGAGAAGGTCTGGGGAGGGACCTGAGAATGTGCCTTTCTAACAAGTTCTCAGGTGATCCCGCTGGTCCTGGGACCGCACTGTGAGAAATATTGACCTCAACTCAATGTGAGAAGTGAAACAGTATAAAGTAAATGCAGCCCAAAGTATCCCTACATAATACAGATACTCTTTTTTTTTTTGGTCAAAGTGCTATCGCTTTATCTATTAAATTCTTAACAAGAGCTTGTTTTCCTATGATCTCTTACATTTGGTCAAAGTGCTATTGCTTTATCTATTAAATTTGGTCAAAGTGCTATTGCTTTATCTATTAAATTCTTAACAAGAATTTCCTACGATCTCTTATTTTCTCTGAAACAGTGGGTGCTTAGGGGAAAAAAACTAGTGAATTGAGGGTTATGAAAAGTTAAATTCTAGCTTCACTGAAATAGTCTCCCTCTTAGCAAAATGAAGTATCCTAAATATTTGACATTCTCTTCACCTCCACATGTTCCAGAAACACAGTGAATTGCTGTGCAGCATCAAGTACTTGTGAGCCAGAGGTCAGAACTTAACACTGCTCCCGCACCCACCTTCAAGTCACGTGTGATGGCTGCTGGGGTGAAAGAGCTTACTTCTTGGTCTTTACAAGATGGGTGATCTACCATGTCCCATGTCATCGCTCACAGTCATACTAAATGCCTTTACTTCCTCCCAAACCCTCCCAGGTTCTCCTGGGAATCCCACTTCACAAGGACATGAACAGTCACCCTCTGCCCAGGAGTCTTCTCCCGGCACACCTCGGCACTTCTGACCATGTCTTATCTAGTAGTTTATGACCATGTCTTATCTGGTGGTTTAGCATCTGTTTCCATTCATACCTCCCTTACAGCCTGTAAGAAGTCTGAGGTCAAGACCTGCCTCTCGAGCATCTTTATAGCCCCTTTCTCCAGAGACTATCTTTCACTAGGCAGTCTTGTTTATAAATATTTAGAAGCTTCCATATACCACTTTCTGGTTTGGAAAATATAGGACTATTCCATATTAGAGAAACTTGTAATTAACTGTCGTCTGAACAAATACTCTAAACTATAAATCCTTTTCTCCTGCTTGAAATGCCCAGAGCAAACAACCTTGTCCTGGCAAGCTTGTCCCCAAGGACCCAGGAAGGCTCCTATCAGGATGAGGGGATGAGTGCCCTATATGCTGCTGTGTATGTGCTGGGGGGCCAGACAGAGGAGAAAAGAGGCCCCTTGACCCATGCTACTTCGTGTTCATCGGGACACGGCCCAGACCCGCAGACGTGAGGAGTTTGGCCACAGGCAGAGAACATGGTAACACATGAGGAAGGACTCCAGACTGAGGGCGCGGGCCATGCAGAGTGGGTGAGGTGGGATGCAATGGGGAGAGGCAGTCAAGTAGCACTGAATCTGTCATCTGCCTGGCTTCACACTCAGGTGAGTGAAGAGCTTATCCCCTCGGCTGGGGCCTCACTGTCCTCACTCCGCCCTTGCAAGTCAGTTGTCAAGAAGATGCAGGTGACTGTGGGCAGAGACATGTGTGGAGATGACAGGAGGGAAGAATGTATAGTGGGGTTGGGGGTGTGAGCTGCAAGGGGACGAGTGGCTAGGCTGGCAGAGAACAGATCCCTAAATCTCTGTGGGACGGCTCATGGGATTAGCTTTCAGTATTTTTTCATCAAGACCCATAGTAAGAAATACATTTTTACATTATGACCCAGTACATATATCTGTGCATGTACACAGTAAAATTGAAATAACAAGTCACAAAGCAGTACTTACCATGCTACATGTGATGCAATCCATCACGTGCTGTTCTCAAAGTACTAATTTGACTTCGTGACTGTATAGTGGGTCATAACCGACTATTTGAAACAAACAATTTGCCCTTTTGTGTCCCAGACACTTCAGAGGGCCTTCCAGGCTTTGGAAATCCTGCTCTAAACAGTGCTCTCAACCAACTGAGCACCTACTGTATGCCAGACACCACGCTCGATGCTGGCTGGGAGCAGGGAGCTGGGAGCAGGGTGGCTCCAGAGATGAGAGGACATGGAGACCCTCTCACACACACAGACCAGAGGACAGTCTGTACAAGATGGTAGTGACGAGACCACCGTGCGATACCCAGATGTACAATCTGAGGGTATTCAGCCACTGGTGAGCACCAAGGAAAGACAGTACCACCTCCCAGGGGCTGGCATCAGAAAGCAGACAGAAATGTCACTGTCTCTCCCAGCCTGCATGCCCTGTGGAAGTCCCGTCCCTTCTCCCCTCTGTGGACTGGAGCCCTCTCTCCTCTCCCCACATTACGGCCCAGAGAGTGAAGGAAGATTCCTGGAGCCAGGCTAGACGCACGTTCTGGGGAAATCCCTTCGGAGTGAGTCTCCTTCTGACAGTCTGGGGGCTTGTGTTCAGCTGCCTGTTCTCTACTTACTGAACTAAAGTTTTAAGAGAACTCATGTGTCTCAAATTTATTTCTCAAAAAAAGTTTTTTTAAAAAATTTCCAACACCCTCTGAGAGCTCTGAAAGGGAATCATAACACACTTATAAGATGTTCCAAGCCCCTACTACAATTATCTCAGTGAGATCTTGCAGGTCAGCTGTAACTGGTGACCACTGCAAGGCTATTTCCATAATGAAAGTCTGTGCTGCCCGCACCTCTTCACTGTGATTACAGCCTTCCTCCTCCAGCCAGGCTATGAAAGCTGTGTCCTGGCCTTTGGAAAATATATGGATCGTCCCATATCCCAGAAACTTCTAATTAACTATTTGAGAATTAGGAACCATCCAAGTAATGAAGATGGATCAGGGAGAGGTAGGAAGCAGAAACGAGGCGACTCCAGCAAGGGAACAATAGCGCCATATGCTCCTTCTCTCCATCCGGAGGGGTGGGTGAGAACATCCAAGGCCTCCCACCGTAGAGCAGGCCCTGGGATCAATGGAGCGCCTTTGGTAACTGCTGCGCACTTGGAGAAAATCAAGGGTAGGGGCAGTCTCCAGCATCTCTATATCCCCCAGGCCTGGCCCAGGCTGGGCTGCAGAGGACTCTGTCATAGGTTGAGCTGACTGGGAAATAGCCCAGTGGCTAATGTCTCTTTTATCTGGCCAGTTGTGTGATAGGCACTTGGCCATAAAAGTTAGGGGAATCTCTAAGAGCCTCAGTGTCTGCAGCCATCAAATAGGGATGAGTACCCTATTGACATGGGCCTGTGCATGAGCCTTCTTGCTAAACTATGATGTTTCCAGGTACAGAGTTAGTACTGTCACTGCAGAAAGGCAGAGCTATGTGTATGAGCAAATGAACCAAAATAGCTGATCTTTGCTCTGAGGGCTGTTGCTACTGAGGGATATTGTCGGCCTAGAGGGGAAGGATAAAGGGATCATGCCACCCTGTACTGCCCGCTCTGGGGAAAGCCACTCCTTATACTGCTTACATGCCCACTCTCCCTGCTCCTCTGCTTGGGGGAAAGCCACATTCTAGGGTGGTGGGGAAAGAACCTTCATTTGAAAGTGGAGAAGAAGCTGAGGCTCAGAGAGGTGATGTGTCTTTTACAACTTCTCTGAGCCTCAGTTTACTCATCTGTAAACAAATGGATCCAAAACATCCAAAGGTTAGCTGGTCCCACCTCCCATTCAGCCAGGGCCAGAGTCCTGCCGGCAGCATCCCTGATAGATGTGATGCTCATCACTGCACGAAGCAGACTGTTCTCCATCAAGCAGCTCCAAACCACTAGAGAGCTCTTGCTTTTACTCAAATGGCATAGTGGCTGGGAAAGGGCTTATGAAAATAAAAGCATAATTGAAGGGGGTTATTATTAACACCATCGACATTAGAGGCAACATGAGAGGGTGAAATGAGGCTGCAGATAGGCTTCCTGAGCACTAAGGAGGCTGAGGGGGGAGCCAAGAAGGAGGGGTGCAGAGGGACCCTGGTGGGTGCTGGGTTCTCTCTGGAGAGACCAGACAGCCGCTAAAGAGGATGCTCAGGTCCTATGAGACTGAGAGGTACATAACTGCTTCAGTGGAGAGAAAAAACCATTCCCCCACCTGAGTGAGACCTGGCTTACTGGGGTCTGCTGTTTGCAGAAGCACACCTCTGACTTAGAATGGGAGATGCTCTGGCTCCCTAGAGGGAGCATATTTGTACTGGAAGGCACAGAGAGGGTATTCCAAACATGTTTGCCTAGTGGCCCCTGCTTACCAATGGTGAAGAGCTTGCTGTGAAAGCCAAGAAGGGAAAGCTAGGGACTCAGGTAGGAGTCAAGGTACAAAGGGTCCAAGCTGAAAGGTCTTAGAGGCAGCCTAGGCTGGCAGATGGAGATGCGAGAGTGATAGCTTGTGGCCCAAGCATGGCCTTGGTAGTTTGGAACTCACTTTGGGGGAAGCAGACCTTCTACCTGCCAAGCGAAAGCAAGTGCCCAATCCAGCCCCCAGCAGGTCGCAGGGCCTCATAATGGTTACCTTCCCGCATTCAGTGCCCTGCGCTCAGCCATCTCAAACCAAAAAGCCCACCCCTGCCCTCATATCTGTGAAAGTCTGAATCCAGAGTCCTGTGCCTTGTGCTCCGTGAGGCCTTGTGAGCCTCACTCAGAAAGGAACTGCAGACAGAGGGAGGCACATGGGCCAAATGGGCTGGGTCAACTCACCCACAATCTCGTTCTCCTCCAGATTGATGGTCTCCAGTGCCGGCAGGGTGGTGAGCTGTTCAGGGAAGTCGTGAAACTGGTTTCGGGACAGGTCAATGGCCTTGAGGTGCTGCAGGGTGCTGACCTCACTGGGAAGGCGGTGCAGGAAGTTCCCTTCCAGGCGGAGCTCTGCCATATGGATGGAGAAAGAGAAGGAAGTGTGAGAAGGAAAGCAACCTAGTAACAACTGCCTGACCCCACCCAGGCCAGGACGGCAGCAAAGAAACCCCAGGCCAAAAGGAAGTCCTCCCCACCCAGGATCTGACTCCATGTTTATGCAAGAGGAAGGGTAACTTCCACTTGTGCCTGGGTGGTCATTCCCAGCGGGGCACTCTGCTCTTGGCTTTGGAATGGAAGGCCCTCCCAACAGAAGCCTGGGCCTAGCCAACGGGTCAGGATGTGCTGGCTCCTCACTCAGACAAGGCTTCAGCTCCAGGCCTTGACAAGACAGGCCAGGATGAGAAGCCCCCAGGCTCCTCACACCCACAGCTCCCCACATCCCTCCATCTGGAGGACACCACTTCCTACTGCCCTCCTGCTCAAGGGCCACCAGTCAAGTTCTTTCTGTGTCAGATGACCCTGCTCCCCAGCCCAGCCATAGCTGACCAGATGAGTGTGGGTTCCTACTCCTAGAGCTGACAAGCAACCCATACAGGGACTTGTTGAGGAGGTGGGCTGCACTGGTGGGAGCCCCTCTGTTGGGAACCTGGCCAAGGCAGTTCTGGGGGTGGTGAGGCCGAAGCTGAAATGCTGTGTTCTATAGAAAGAAGCTGGGACGCCCAGACCGGCCCTGGGCAAGAAGAAGGGATGAGGGGCAGAAACCAAGAGTCAGTGTGGGGAGGTAAGGGAAGTACTATAATGCAGGGCTTAAGAGTGGGGGATCTGGAGCCCCCACTCCCTGGGTTCAAACCCCAGTTGTGCCACCTACAACTTTTTCACTCAGTTATCTAACGCCATTAGGTCTCAGTTTCCTCATCTGTAGAAAGGGACTACTAACAATATGTGCTTCATAAGGTTAGAGGGTTACATCTGTTAAAATGGGTAAAGCACTTGGCTCAGTGCCCAGTACAGAGTAATACTCACACTACATTATCGTTACTATTATAGCAGAAAGCTGTTGTGAAGATTACATGTGTGCAAAGTGCTCTGCACAATGTCTGGCACACAGTAGGCACTCAATAAACATTAGGGCGGAACCTAAGGAAACAGAGGAAGCCAGCTGACATCAAAGAATGGGAGAGACAGAGAAGCAGAACCACCATGAGAGCACTCACGAGGACCTCGGTTTCTACTGGTTTCAGGCCCTGTCCTCATATGACCTTACAGAGTCCCTCCTTTGTTACGGGACTCAGGTGAGCCTCCCCACCTTGTCTGACCTAAAGGAAAATGAGGCCTAGAAATGGAACTCTTCTCCCCAGGGCTGGCTTCACAGACCTAGCGTAGTCACACAGGGTCCCAGGCTCACACTTGAGGTTCAATGTCCTGTGCTGCCATCTTGAAAATCTGTGGAGGACTGTTCCATGATGTGACTGCGGTCCATCCTGCCAGCTAGACCCAAGCCAGAACAGAGGTTGCTTTCTGCAAACCCCGCTTAGAGACCGATCATAATTCATGTTCATCGGACATAAATCAGTACCCCTCTCCTGCCACCATCTATGGGCTGGTTCCTAGAACAGGCTGTTGTCCTGACCTGGTCACACATGTAAAGTAACTTCCCACACATGGTAGCATTCATGTACTAGTACCCATGCCTACTCTCACTCTCTACCCTATTAATTCTTTGGCACCTGTCAAGTAGCACGGGGATCCATTGCCTAAGACATGCCTTGTAAGTTTCCCTTAATAAACTATACTGATTACCACACTGGCCTGGCCAGCCTCTTTCTTCAGTCTTTCCCCTTCACGTGGAGGGAGATTTTCAGTCTCAGGGCTTTACTCTGGGTCTGGGTGTAGAACCAAGTCTTAATAATTTTATCCTTGAATCCATGTTTTGTAAGTAGAGTGGGGGTCGCAGAGTCTTAGCTCATACGCCTGGTCCTGACTCCCACCACCTCCCCAGGGTGGGTTCTCGGCAGGCTGCTCTCCTGCCCCCCGGCACCCAGGACATGCTGGGCTCGCCCTCTTTGCCCCTGCTCTGCAACTGCTGTGGCCCTCCATCCCCAGCAGGGGCCTGGGCACAGGGAGGGTTAGTCAGGCACGTGCACCTATGGTGTCTCAGGGTGGAACCCAGTGGCAGCCGTCCCCTGGCACTCCTTTGGGCTGGCAGCACCAAAGTATCTTCGTGGGTAGCAGCTAGAGTCTTGGCAGGAGGGAGCCTCTTGCTTACCTCTGCCCCAGGTACTGAGAACAACCTGAGGCAGAGGTTTAAAGATCCTTGGGATTCCTGGCTGGACCTCCCCACATCCACCCCTGCCCTGGACAAAGTGTAGTAGTCTAGCTTGTGGCAGGAACGGTCAGGCCTGAGGGTACGTGCACAGGTACCCTTCATCATGGGGGGCGGGGAGGACCCTAGGCCCTGGCTGAAGCCCACATTTCCTCCCTTCCTCCTTCTAGCCTTCCTGAGTCTGGCTTCAGTTGTCTTTCTGGCCCACTCAGGGCACCCTCTGAAAATAAGCAATGAAATCCAAATGCTATAATTTCATGAGACCATATATGAGTTAAATGCTCTAATATTTACATTTAAAATTGGCATTGTAGAATATAAAAATGAATGGTAAAACTTGTACTAATAATTTGAAGTTTTAATATTTTCCTTACTCAGAAGGACATTACATAGCAAATAGAAAAGCACTCTTCTTCTGCTTCGTGAATGAGGGTTCCTTCCACGTTTTCATTTTGCACTGGGCCCACCAGTTCTGTTCTGGCCTGCTCCTCCCTCTGCATCCTCCATGATGCAGCCCTGAGTTGTGGGTGATGAGCCTTTCAGAGGTCCTAACAGCCTCTCCTGTAGTAAGAGCAGAGCCCCGCCCGAGGACTACCTGTACCCACACACCTGAGTGCCAGCCACACTGCAGGACCCCTGTTCCACGACCCTGGGGCTCTGGCAAATGGGAACAATCTGAGTCATCTTTGTTCCCTACATCCAGCTCCCTGAGGGGCACTTTGCGGTCACTGGGCAGACAGATATTTGATGAATGATGACTCTCCTCTCCACAGGAGGCAAACAGATAACACAGGCTCCCTGAGGGGGCCTGGCCTGCCTCTCATTCCCATGTCAGGGGCATCTTGAATGCCAAGCCTCCATCAGCAGAACCACTGCTCCCCCAACACAAACCTAGGATGCCTCCAGCAGCCAGGTATTTAGACACCCATGCCTTAAACCCGAAAACACCCCTATCAATTATAAGGTCAGTGTTGTAAAATGAAGACAGTACCAAACACTTTCTATAGGATTGCTGTGAATTTAAATGAATGAACACATGAAAAAGGCTTTGAATAGTACGGAGCACATAGTAAATCCTATGTTAAGTATGTGAGATAGACAGAAAGATGGATGGATGACAGACAGATGGCAAACCATGCAGGGCACCTGGTGAATCCAGTAATCCAGTTAGTACTGAGTTCCCTCCTGGACTTGTATTTCTAACTGCTCACACTTAAAATTAGAAAAGAAAATGTTCTTTGCCTGAAGCTGTAATGAACATAAGACTATTCTTTGCTGTTTAGAAAGCACCCGCAGGGTTCCAAGGTCTTTGGGGAACAGCTGTTTGGAGCACAAAGCAGCAGGGAGCTAATAAACACAGCCACAACACTACAGACGCAAGGGTGTGTGAGCTTGTGGGGGGTCTCAGAACCTACTGGCTCAGTCCCTCCACACTACGGAGACAGACCCCACAGCTCAGGGGGCACCAAGAGTAGCTGCTGTAGGGGTAGGGAAGAGAATCTCCCCTCTCTCAATTTCTAGCATGTTCAGAATTGTTATTTAAAAAAAGAAAGGTGGCCTTTTATCAAATCATTTTGGGCCTCAGTCTAATCACAGCCCCAAAGCAGCTCAGAACTGTGAGAAGCCTCCAGCCCTAGGGGCAGCTGCTGAGAGCCTTGGGGAGCTTGCCTTGGTATGCAACTTGCAGGTAAGGGGTGACGGGGCCATAGAATCTGACAGGGGGTGTGCTCTCAGAGAGGTCTCAGAGGCCTCGCCCAGCACCTTACCCGGCAGCTTGCTCCCACCTCGGGAATGCTGAGGGAGCATCCCTGACTGGTGGGAGCCTCACTCAACCCGCTGTCTCTGCTACAGAGGCAGGAACGTCTTGCCATCAATCAGCTGGGATGGTGGAGATCTAATCTGATGAATGAATGCTAGAAGGCTCTGCCCAGTGTCCTGGAGACAAGAACCAAGGGTCATGACCAGTCTAAGAAGCTCTCAGCATCTCTCACCCTTGCTCAGGGTAGCATGTTTAGGATCATTCCTGGGGCTGGTTGAGGGGCCACAACATCCTGAACAGAAGCACCCAGAATGACCAGAGAGGCTTTCTTTCCTGCAGCTCTAACAGGCTTGTCTTGCAGGCTGGCAGGCGCTTGCCACTCATGTTCAGGTTTAGAGGGAATCATGTTAAGGTGGGAGTGGCCTTCTGCCTGGCTCTGAAGTCCCATAAATAAGGAGCCTAGGCTGAAGAGCCTTTGACTTTTCCCAAAATACAACTGATGTCATCCATATCCAGGACACAGTCTCACCTGGCTCCCACATGCCAATGAAGGGCTCAGCTGAGTCCCCATGGGAGAGTGCTGGGGCTCTGAGCACAGCTAGGTGTCAGTGTCTGACTAGGCTCCCCAAGGCTACACACTGACCCTCATTCTAACTTTCCCACTCCCAGCAATGCCCTGAGAGGCTCTGGACTAGGTCAGGAAAGGTATTAGAAAAGCTCAGGGTTGGACTCCAAAGATATTGACTGAAGCCACATTATGAAGAGGACCCAAGGCCAGACCAGGAGCCTCTTGAGGGCTAGGATCAGTGTGGTTCATCCCGTATCTTATGTGCTAGCATGAGGCCTGACACAGAGAGGGTGCTCAGAAAAGACTGGCTGAATAAATGAATGAATGAATGGACAGCCAAACGGATTGCCACAGGCTGGCTTGACTACAAATTCCCCAAGTTCTTCCTGCTGTTCCCTGGCCTGGCACAAGGCTAATCC